CTCGGGCCCTGCAGGTTCGAACCCACATTGAGTCCGACACGCCCCGAGCCCTGCAGCTTCGAACCCACGTGGAGTTCGAACCGCTTCGGGCCCTGCAGGTTCGAATTCAAATTGGGTTCGAACAGCCTCGTGCGCTGCAGGTTCGAATTCGAATTGAGTTCGAACCGCCTCGGGCCCTGCGGGTTTGAACTTACATGGAGTGCTAGCCGCCTCGAGCCCAGCCAGTTCGAATTCAAGTTGAGTTTCAACCGCTCGAACCGCCTGGCGCCCTGCATGTTCGACCTCAGTTTGAGTTCGAGCCGCTTCTGGCTCTGCTGGTTCGAACTCAAGTTGAGAGTTCAAACCGCCTCGGGCCTTGCAAGTCCGAACACAAGTTGAGTTCGAACCGCGTCGGGCCCTGCAGGTTTGAAGTCGGATTGGGTTTGAACCGCCCCGGGCCTTGCAGGCTCGAGTTCACATTGAATTCGACCCGCCTCGAGTCCTTCAGTTTCGAACTCAAGTTAAGAGTTCGAACCGCCTCGGGCCCGCAGGTTTGATTCCATTTGAGCTCGAACCACCTTGGGCCCTGCAGGCGCGAACTCAAATTGAGGCCGAACCGCCTCGTGCCCTGCAGGTTCGAATCCAAATCGAGTTCGAACCGCCCCAGGCCCTGCCGGTTTTACCTCAAATAGGGTCCGAACCGCCTCGGGCCCCGCAGGCTCGAACCGCCGCGAGCCACGCAGGGTCGCGGTCAAATCGAGTCCGGACAGGCCCGAGCCCCGCAGGTTCCAAGTCAAATTGATTTCGAACTGCCTCGGGCCCTGCAGGTTCAAATCAAAATTGAGTTCGAACCGTTCCGAGCCCTGCAGCACCGAATCCACAAATAGTTCGAAACGCCTCGAGCCCTACAGGTCTGAACTCAAATGGAACCCGAACCTCCCCGAGCCCTGCTGGTCCGATCTCCATTTGAGTTCGCAGAAGTCCAGTTGAGTTGGAAACGCCTCGGGCCTTGCAGGTTCGAACCCGAATTTAATTCGAACCGCCCCAGGCCTGGCAGGTTCGATATCAAATTGGGTTCGAGCCGTCTCGAGCCTTGAAGCTTCGAGCCCAAAACGAGTTCGGGCCACCTCGGGCCCTGCAGATTTGAACCGACACGAAGTTCGAACCTCCCCGAGCCGTGCAGGGTCGAATTCAAATTGATGTCAAACTACCTCTGGCCCAGCATATTCGAACTCACATTGAGTCCGCAGCGCCTCGGGCCATGCAGGTTCGAACTCCCTGTTGATCGGAACCGCTCTGGCCCTGCAGGTTCGAACCCGCATTGAAGTCGAGCCGCCTGGAGCCCTGCAGGTTCGAACGCAAATTGAGTTCGCACCGCCTCGAGCTTTGCAGGTTCGAACGCACATTGAGTTCGAACCGTCTCGAGCCCTGCAGGTTCGAACTCAAGCTGGGTTCGATTCGCCTCGGGCCACGCGGTCTCGATTCCAAATCGAGTTCGAACCGCATCAGGCCCTGCAAATTTGAACCGACATTGAGTTGGAGCCGCCCCAGCCTGGTAGGTTCGAGCTCACATTGATTTCGAACCGCTCCGATCCGAAACTCGCAGGGTCGAATCCAAATTGATTCCGAAGCGTCTCGGACCCTGCATGTTCGAACTCGCATGGAGTTCGAGCCGTCTCGGGCCCTGCAGGCTTGTTGAAATTGGTTCAGAGCCGCCTCGGGCCCTGGAGGTACGAGCTCGCATTTGGTTCGAACCGCCGCGGGCCCTGCAGGTTCGAACTCAAATTGTTCAAATGAAGTTTAGATCGCCCTGAGCCCTGCAGGTGAGAATTCAGGTCGAGTTCGAACCGCCTCGAGCCCCGCAGCTTCGAACTCATGAGTACGAGCCACCTCGGGCCCCGCACACGTGATGCGACATTGAGTCGAACCACCTCCCCGATCTCTGCCGGTTCGAATTAAGATTGAGCGCGAACCGCATCTGGCCCCGCAGGTCCGAACACCTACTGAGTTCGAACCGCCTCGGGCCCTGCAGGTTCGAACTCCAATTGAGTTCGAGCCGCCTCGGGCCCTGCAGGCGCGAACTCAAGTTGAGTTCGAACTGCGTCGGGCACTGCGGGTTTTGGATTCAAATTCAGTTCGAACCGCCTCGGGACTTGCAGGTTCGAGTTCAAATTGAATTCAAACCACCCTGGGCCCAGCAGGATCGAACTCCACTTGCGTTCGAAACGCCCCCGCCCTTGCAAGTTCGAACCCACATTGAGTTCGAACCGCCTGGTGCCCTGCAGGTTCGAACTCAAGTTGGGTTCGATCCGCCTCGGGCCCTGCAGGTTCGAAATCAAATTGAGTTCGAAGCGCCGAAGGCCCAGCTGATTCGAACCCAGGTCGAGATTGCGAACCGTTTCGAGCCCTCCAGGTTCGGATGCAAATGGAGTTGGAACCGCCTCGAGTCCTGCAAGGTTAGATTTTCAGATTGAAGTCGCTCCGCTTCGGGCCCTGAAGGGTCGAATTTTAAGCTTGAGTTCGAAACGCCGCCGGCCCTGCAGATTCGAATCCAGGTCGAGTTTGAACCGGCCCGGGCCCTGCAGGCTCGAACTCGAATCGAGTTCAAACTGCCTCGGGCCCTGCAGGTTCGAATTGAGATTGAGCGCGAACCGCCTCGGGCCCTGCAGGTTCGAACTGAAATTGATTTCGAAACGCCTCAGGCCCCACAAGTTCGAACCCAAATTGAATTCGAATCGCCTGGGGCCCTGAAGCTTGGAATTGAAATTGGATTCGATCCGCATCGGGCCCTGCAGGTTCGAACTCAAATTGAGTTCGAAGTGCCTCGGGCCCTGCAGATGCGAGCTCAAGTTGAGAGTTCGAATTGACTCGAGACTTGTAGGTTCGGATTCAGATTTAGTTGGAACCGACTCGGGCCTTGCAGGTTCGATGTCACATTGATTTCAAACCGTTTCGGGCCCTGCAGGTTCGAACTCGCGTTGAAGTCGAGCCGCCGCGGGCCCGGCGAGTTCCAACTCCAATTGAGTTCGAGCCGGCCCGAGCCCTGCAGCGTCGAACTCAAATTGAGTTCGAACTGCCTCGGGACCTGCAGGGTCTCATTCCCTGGGGCGGGGCGACCTCGCCCAGGGCTGGGCCGGCGGACGGGCTGCGGGCGCGCGGCGCCCCGCCCAGCCACGCGGCCGCGGGCGCCAGCGCCATGTCGAGCAGCGGGTCGCCGCCCGCCGCCGGGCGGCGGAGGCGGCGGCGCGGCCCAGGCGGGCCCGCAACGCAGCGGGCCTCCACCAGGCCTGGGCGGCGGCGGCAGGCGCGGGCGGCGGGGCCGCGGTTCCCCGGGCGAGCGGCCGCCAGGCGTCGGCGGCGGGCCTGGCGGGGGTCGGGGCGAGGGCGCCCGCGGCGGGCGGCGCCTCCATCTCCTCGAAGCTGTCCTCCTCCCCGCCGTCCTCGTCGGCGTCATCCTCTCCGTCCTCGATGGTGAGGTCGGCCATGCGGCCGTCGCGCTGGACCTCGGCCCTCGGCGCGGGGGTCGCCAGCTCCTCCTCGCAACTAGTAGCGCTCGTAGTGCGCTCGGTTCTCGCGAGTGGCCTCGGGCGACAGCGTCGCCGCGGGAGGCTGTGCAGCCGCCCCGAGAGACAGTTCCACGTCCTCGCTGGTAGCCGTCGCCTGCTCGACTCCCCGAGCGAGTTCGGCAGCCGTCGGCCCAACAGGCTTCTCCAGCAACGCCGCCAGAGACGCCGCGTCGTCGAGCCTCTCGAAGCCCGGTGAGGCGAGATGATCCACGTCATCATACATGCAGTCCCTCTCCGTGGTCTCGGTCTCCCACGCCGAAAGAGACACGGCGTCCAAGGTGGGCGCCGCGGGCGCTGAGCGCGCCGGGGGCCCGGTGACGGCCCGCGCGGCGGCAGCGGGCAGCGGCGGGGCGTCTGGCGCCAGGGCGGCGCAAGCCGCAGGGCGGGGGCCCAGCGGGGTGTGCAGCCCAGCGGCGGTGGCCGCGCCCGCGCCCCAGCGGACCAGAGGACACTCCAACTCGCGCGTCAGGGCACTGTGGTGGATAAGAAGGGTCGGGGGAAGGGGATGCGGCGGGGCCCGCGGGTGGGGGTGCTAGCAGTGTAGCCGCGCCTCACTCCCAGACGAGGCAATTCGCGCGCGCGCGCGCGCGCGTGCGTGCGCGTGCCCTGGCGAACCCGAGCCCGAGCCCAAGCAGCCCGAGCCCGATCCTGAGCACGTGCGCGTGCGCGTGCGCGCGCGCGTGTGCGTGTTCGTGCGTGCGTCCACGTGTGCGTGTGCATGTGCGTGCGCCTGAACGTATTCGTGCGCCTGTACGCGTGTGCGTGCGTGTTCGTGTGCGCGTGTGCGCGCGCGTGCGCAGCCTCGGGCGCGAGCCCAGCCCGAGGCCGAGCTCGACTCCGAGTCCGAGCGCGAGCTTGAGCCCAAGCCCGAGCCCAAGCCCGAGCCCAAGCCCGAGCCAGAGGCCGAACCCAAGCCTGAGCGCGTGCGCGTGCGTGCGTGTGCGCTTCCGATATGTTTACATGCGACCAATTAAAACTCACTATCAATCGTATCCACCTGGCTGTAGGGAGGGATCTCATGGTTATGCGAGAAACCCCAGCCGATCCTGCGGCAGCCAAATATCCCGTCAAGATCAGCGTATCATCCCAGCGATGATGCCCAGCCGTTGCCTGACCGGGGCCTGTGGTGTGACCCAGCGGACGGCACTGGCGGAGTAACATTGCGGAGCTTTAGAGTGGGGGTGCGCCATGACATGTGCCATGCCCGAGTCCGAAATGTCGGGTCTCCATCCCCATCCTCTCTTTCGCCCCTGCGCGCGATACTCGCATGTGGCAGGAGTTTGAAGCAACATTCCTGTAGCATGCTGTGACAGAACATGTCAAGGTAATGGCATCACGGCTCAGGTGTTCGATCCCTCCGCAAAAGCTCACATGGTCCCTGTCCTCAGCGGCACCGCGCGTTCGCTCGCTCGATCGCTCCCTCTCTCCACTCCCCCCCTGTCCTGCCCAGCGCAGGTTTTCAGTGTTGCAGGCGGGGGACCACGTGTTGGCCAAGGTGTCCACGAGGCTGCTGCCAGTGCAGGCTCGGCGATTGCGCGGAGGGGTCTGCGCAGACGTTGACGAGCGGGTCGGCAAGTTAGCCTTCTGCACGACACCCGCTGAAGCTGCTCTACGCCCTCCTTCTCGTCGTCCTTCTAGGGGGAAGACCCCGCCGAGCGTCGCGCCGCCGTTGTGTCACAGACGGTCGGACCCAGTGGTATCATCCTGATCCTCCCCCTCCCCCCCTCCCCCCTCTCCGTAGTCCTCCTTTTCCTATTGTTCCCCCTCCTCGGCATTATTTTTCCTCTCTCCCTCCTCCTCCTCCTCCTCCTCCTCCTCCTCCTCCTCCTCCTCCCAGGCCAGGCGGCAGCGCAGTGGTCTGAATTTGCTAAATTTTTTCCTGTGCGATGCGCAGGAGACTGATACAGCAGATCGTGCCAAGCATTGCGGTAGGCAGTTTGTATGCAAGTTTAAGCAGGTCCCCCTCACTTCGACTTGGGGGAGGGATCTCAGGAGGCGTTCTATTGCAGAGACTGTCAGTTGGCTCCAGTTTCGCCGTCTAGCTTGCCAGCTCTTAGCCCTTAAGGGGGACGGGGTGCTACTAGGGGGCGTTTGGTGGACTTGATTAGAGGCACAGATGAGCTCCTCAGCACGGCTGAGGAGCCGGGGCTCTCGAGTCTCTCGGGCCTTGAGGTCGTTCGAGCCTTGTCTTAACCTTCGTCCAGGGAGGCGGTTCTTGGAGCTCTCAGTAGGGAGGTGGGCCGACGGGTTGCTGCGGACGCGGCAGCTAGCCGCCAAGCCTGGCAGGATTTTGCGAGAGAGTCTGTATCTAGGGGTGGCAAGCTCGCTCACCGCTTTTCCAAGGACCCCACTCCCATGCGATTCCGCTGCTCGGGTGCGAGGAAGAGGGCGCCCAACCTCTTGCAGGTCAGGAGGCGCTGGAATCGCTCCTGGAAGAATGGGAGGCGATTTGGTCCAAGGCCTCCCGGGACGGTGAAATTCATCCTCGGGAATGGCCGGTGTTTGATGAGTTGCCGCGGATTACGGCTGATGATGTTAAAGCTGTCCTGGGACGGGTTTCATCCGAGATTGCTGAAGCTTCTGCCTCCTGAGTTCCTTCAGAGGTTCGCTGATGTTTTAAACTCATGGGAAAGGGATCCCAGGGTCACGGATTCCTGGTTTGTGCTCATTGTCTTATTGGACAAGCCCACAGGGGCCCACAGGGGGAGTGCGGCCGATCGACCTGCTTCCCCGGTTGGCCAGAGTTTGGTACAAGATAAGGTTCAAGGACTGCGCGAGTTGGGACCGGGGGGTGGATTCGAAGCTCTTTTGGGGCCTTAGCCGTGCTACGTCTTGTGACAAGAGCGCGTGGCTGCACAACGCGCTCTCCCACTTCGCCAGCCTGGTGAAGCTGGAGTCGGGATCGGCGTTTCTCGATTTTTTAAGTACTACGATAACATATCTCATAATGAGCTGAGGGCTGAGGCGGCCCATGCGGGGTTTCCCGACGTTTTGCTTCGGGCGCTTTGCTGCGTTTACAGGGCTCCGCGACGCGCCGTCCTCCAGGGGTGCACCAGCAGGCATCCGGAAGCGAACGGGACTGTGATCGCGGGGTTCTCGTGCGCCACATCTCTCGCGAAGCTGATGCTGCTGGCGCTCCTGAGGAAGGCGGACGCAGTAGCGCCCATTGTAGTTTTGAAAAATGTAATAGACGACGTGTCTTTCCATGCCGTCGGCAGCTTGGTGATTGTGGCTCGTGAGCTCCCTCGGGCCTTCATTATTGTAGCCGGCGGTGTTGTGGCGAAAGGGCTCCCGATTTCCTGGGGCAAGGCGGGCTTCCTGGCCAGCTCCAGCGAGCTTGCTGACCAGCTTTGTGCGTCCTGGGAGATGGATCTGAAGGATCGGGCCCATTCCCACAGATATTTAGGTGGCGATGCCACCGATGGCAAATCCCGACGCTTGCCTACACATCTCGACCCTTTCCTGTGCTCGCAACGCCGGGCGCTTCGTCTCCGCACTCTGAAAGGCGGAGGGGCGAAGATATTCCAGTTTCACACGGCAGGACCTTCGGCGGTCGCCATGTGGGGCTCCTGTGTGCACGGCCTCCCTGACACGCGTCTTCACAAGCTCAGGGTTTTAGCAGCGCGCTCCGAAGGACGGCTGCCCTGAGGCGCGTCGACCGCAGTGTTTCTTGGCTGTGCTAAACGAGGCTGGCGGCGAGACCCGCTAGTCATCTCTACTGGGGACTGTATGAAGCAGTACGATGAGGTGTTCTGGGCTGGGCAGCTTTCGACACCAGTCCTCCAGACACTCTTTAATGACGGACTACATCAAGCAGCGAAGGAGCGGCCGTGGGTCTCTTGCAAAGATCCGGTGGCTGCTCTAATGATTTCGGCTCAGAGGGCGGGGTGGAGGGTGGCGGGTCCTACGTGTGTTGTCGACGACCTGGGGAGGGAGTGGGACCTCATGTTTTACTCGCCTGCCTGCGTTGCTGATCAGATTCAGCACGCGGCCCGCCGTGCTTCTGATGTCCGTGCGCTGGCATTGCAAGACAGGCAGGGTTGGCGCGCGCCGATTTTCTGGCGGCCCATCCTCGAAGCGATTTTCTGCGATTGGGAGCCTGGCTGGGAAAAGCACCAGCAGATGGCTCTTCGTGGCTTGGTCTCGGGCACATGCTGGTCTCAGGGCCGCCTCTTTGATTAGGGCACTTCCCTTGACCCCAAGTGTTTGCTTTGTGGGGGAGAGAGGGGGTCCCTGCATCACAGGTGCTTTAAGTGGCCATCACACGCAGCCTGGAGGCGCGACAACATCTCTGCAGAACTCGAGCGCTCAGCCAAGATGGTTGCGCAGGCTCCGAGTGTGTGTGTGTGTGGGGGGGGGGGGCGTTTCGCTCGGGAGGTTTTCCCTGACCCAGGCTTGCGCGTGTCCCGGCCGGCTTTGACCAGCAGTGGGCGCTCCGAGGAACGGGGATTGATTAGCTAATCTTTTCCCCAGAGATCTCTGTTCCCTCCCAAATAGAGGTATCGTCCAGATAGGGTACCAGTGATTTTTGGGTCACCCGCACACCGAAACACTATTTGTACAGGCTATAGTGTTCTACGCCGCTGAAATGACAGTCAACATACGTGCGAACAGTATTTGCACAAGGTTTAAGGTTCTACGCCGTTGAAATGACAGTGAAAAACTATTCAAACACTATGCGTACAAATATCATGTTCTACGTCATTGAAATGACTGCGAAAACGCACTCAAACAGTATTTGTACAAGTCAATCGAAGGAATTCTGAGGGGTTTTTGAAGGAATTGTGAAGGAATTCTTAGGGAATTCTGGAGGAATTCTGAGGGAGTTTGCCAGTCAGAAAGGTTCGCCCATTCAGCAATTCATGTTTGAGCGGTTTGTTGACGTATGCGATGTCCCATTCTGCTGTTTGTTTTCTCATCAATTCATCAGTTCAGTGCTTTGTTCATTCAGCCAGTGTGAACGAGTAGGAACAGGAGGCCCAAGAAGGGTGCCAGGGAGGTCCACGAGGGGCCCCAGGAGTCCCAACGAGGGCCCCAGGGAGGCCCAAGATAGCCCAGGGGGCTTCAACTGCTCCGCAAACACTGCTTACACTTCGCCTGGCGGAAGGTCTTGGGACGCTCTTGTCTCGCATCCCTCCTCCTCCCACTCCTGGGTGTGACTTCTAGCGTAAAGGGTATTGGGTATTGGGTATTGGGTATTGGTCATCACGCAGCTGATGCTAACATTATTTTCACATACGCACGCGCGCAATGACACAGCGAGTAGCTAATGCATTCATGCATTTCCTGTGTCAGCTAAAGCATACATAAATGAAAGAATAAGAACAGGGCCGGATTTCCAGGCCACGCGCGTCGTCTGCCTTATTTGTGAGGCGACCGCCAATGAGGCGGCGCCCCTCAGCGATGCAGAGAGGCTCAAGGCGAGCGGTCTCCCTGTCGGGCCAGGCTCCGAGCACCACCATGCGCCCCCACCCGCGGCCAGGCCAGGGCCCTTTGATACAGTGGCCTGGCATCCACTCTCGGCCATCCTGGCGGCGGGCATGGCGCCCGCTGTGTTCCGATGCGAGATACCAGCCCCCCTGCCATCGCCACGACGGACTGGAGGTGGACCCTATGTAGAATACTGCAGGCCTATAGTCCTCGCCACTCTGGCTATCGGGGCTGAGCAAGGCGGTTCCCAACCGCCGGATCAGCTCCTCATCTTCCAAGTCCAGGAACTTGGGCTCCTCCGACTGCGCCAGCGACCGCTCTCGGAACACGGTGACCTCATGGATCGATCGCGTCGCCTCCGCGATCAGTTGCATGGCATCGTCTTGCCCTCTAGCCCACCTCGCAGTTGCGCGCTCCTCGCGCGTCGATGGCGCCCAGGGAATCCCCTTCGACCAAGACTGCCCCGCCGCCACTGCGCCAGAGGAGGAGGAGGCTGAGGCTGAAGGGCAGGTCGCACTGGCCATGGCCATTGATGATGCTGCAGGGTAGGCCGCATTCTTGATGATGGCGTCGGCAGGCCGCGGCTGTGCTGTCGCTACTGATGATCGTGAAGAGCGCAGTGGAGCAACGACCAGCGACACCTCGGCACAACCATGATCTGTGGCGCTTGGGACGGCCAGTGGGACCTGCCCCCCGGCATCGGCGGCTGACAGAGCGACAGCGCAGCCATGGCTTGCAGCACCTGGGACATCCAATTTGGCGGATGGAGCGATGGCAAAGTAGTTGCCTGTTGCAGCAATGTGAACCGATGATGGAGCAATTGCGCGGCCGCAGTGGCCTGAAGCGTCTGGGGCGGCCAGTGCGACCTGCCGCTGTCGCTGGCGCGGGGGCTCAGCCTCCTCTTCAGAGGAGCCCGTCGACAGCATTCTGGACGCCCTGCGATCCCACTGCTGCAGATCACGCTCCTGCCGCTGCCGCTCCGCCCGCTCCCAGCGCGGGTCTGGCGACTCCAGCAGCCATGGGCGCGGCGGGCGCGGCCCAGATCCTGCCGAATCCATCGAAGGCTTCAGCGCAACGTAATGCATAATGCACAACAGTAGTGCAACAGGGCTTGAGCCAAAACGGCAAACCGCTGAATGGATCAATAGATGAATGATGAATGATGAATGATGAATGTCATATCTCCGTATATCGTATATCGTATATCGTATTTGCACGTGTGCACGGGGCCCCCTTGGAACCCCGAGAGGGCCCCGAGAAAGCCCCAAGAGGGCGGACAACCCTTGCATCATTAGCACCGCTCCTGCCTCCTGGGAGACCTCCCCATAGGCTAAATTTGTCAAGCGCCCTGGGGATCTCTGCAGGGCCGGAACGGACGGAGTAGGCGGACGTCGGCATAGCTTGTGAGGACCTCTTTGAGCGCCATGGAACGGAGGGGGCGAAGCCGTAACACGAATATGGGGTATGGGGTATGGGGTATGGGGTAGGGGGTGTAGGCGTGTAGGTATAGGGTATGGGGTATGGGGTATGGGTTATGGGGGTATGGGGTATGGTATATGGGGTATGGGGTATGGGGTATGGGGTATGGGGTGTGGGGTACGTGGTATGGGGTATGGAGTTATGGGGCATGGGGTATTGGCGATATTGGGTTTTGCGTATGGGGGTATGAGCTATGGAGCTATGGGGTATGGAGTACAGGGTACAGGGGTATGGGGCAGGCGGACGTCGACAAAGCGGCAAAGCTTTAGAGGGCCCGTTGAGCGCCATGGAGCGGAGGGGGCGAAGCCCTGACATGAAAACATGAGTAGCGTGCACGCGGACGTCGGCAAAGCCTTAGAGGGCCCCTTGAGCGCCATGGAGCGGAGGGGGCGAAGCCCTGACATGAGTAAGGGGTAGGCGGACGTCGGCAAAGCCTTAGAGGGCCCCTGGAGCGCCATGGAGCGGAGGGGGCGAAGCCCTGACATGAGTTCTGTATTGTCGAAATATAAAAAAGCCGACGCGTTCTTTCAGCTGTCTTAAAGAATGCTAGAATGCTACGACTTTTCAATTTCTTTCTTTGACTTACATGTACATTATTTTTTGTGAACAGTATAAAAATGAAACTCAGAGGCGCGCGCGCGCAGCTCTGAGCTTCAGTTCTATATTGTCACAATATAAAAAGCCGACGCTTTCCTTCAGCCTCCTTAAAGGGCTCCAGGATTTTTCAATTTCGTTCTTGGAATTGAATGTCGGATTATCTCTTGTGAACAATATAGAACTGAAGCTCAGAGGCGCGCGCGCGCCGGGTCACCATGGTGACCCGCGCGCGCGCGCGCGCAACTCTGAGCTTCAGTTCTGTATTGTCACAATACAAAAAGCCGACGCGTTCCTTCAGCCTCCTTAAAGGGCCCCAGGATTTTTCAATTTCGTTCTTGGAATTGAATGTAGAATTATTTCTTGTGAGTAATGAATAATATAGAACTGAAACTCAGAGGCGCGCGCGCGCGCCGGGTCACCATGGTGACCCGCGCGCGCGCGCGCGCGCAACTCTGAGCTTCAGTTCTATACTGTCACAATACAAAAAGCCGACGCGATGCTTCAGCCTCCTTAAAGGGCCCCAGGATTTTTCAATTTCGTTCTTGGAATTGAATTCAGAATTATTTCTTGTGAATAATGAATAATATAGAACTGAAACTCAGAGGCGCGCGCGCGCGCCAGGTCACCATGGTGACCCGCGGTCGCGCAACTCTGAGCTTCAGTTTATATTCTATATTGTGACAATACAAAAAAAGCACGCGTTCCTTCAGCCTCCTTAAAGGGCTCCAGGATTTTTCAATTTCGCTTTTGAAATTAAATGTAGATTTATCTTAGAGGGCCCCTTTGAGCGCCATGGAGCGGAGGGGGCGAAGCCCTGACATGAAAACATGAGTAGCGTGCACGCGGACGTCGGCAAAGCCTTAGGGGGCCCCTTGAGCGCCATGGAGCGGAGGGGGCGAAGCCCTGACATGAGTAAGGGGTAGGCGGACGTCGGCAAAGCCTTAGAGGGCCCCTTCGAGCGCCATGGAGCGGAGGGGGCGAAGCCCTGACACGAGTATAGGGTATAGGGTATAGGGTATGGGGTATGGGGTATGGGGTCTGGGGTATGGGGTATGGGGCAAATGGGTATAGGTGTATGGGGTATGGGATTATGGGGCATGGAGCATGGGGCATGGGGCGTGGGGTATGGGGCATGGGCAAGGGGATATGGGGTATGGGTTACAGGGTACAGGGGAATGGGAGTATAGGGGTATGGGGCATAGGGTATGGGGTATGGGCCTGGGGGTATGGGGCAGGCACAGCGGCAACAACTTAGAGGGCCCCTTTGAGCGCCATGGAGCGGAGGGGGCGAAGCCCTGACATGAGTAAGGGGTAGGCGGACGTCGGCAAAGCCTTAGAGGGCCCCTGGAGCGCCATGGAGCGGAGGGGGCGAAGCCCTGACAGGAGTAAGGTGTAGGCGGACGTCGGCAAAGCCTTAGAGGGCCCCTTGAGCGCCATGGAGCGGAGGGGGCGAAGCCCTGACATGAGTAAGGGGTAGGCGGACGTCGGCAAAGCCTTAGGGGGCCCCTTCGAGCGCCATGGAGCGGAGGGGGCGAAGCCCTGACATGAGTAAGGGGTACGCGGACGTCGGCAAAGCCTTAGAGGGCCCCTGGAGCGCCATGGAGCGGAGGGGGCGAAGCCCTGACAGGAGTAAGGTGTAGGCGGACGTCGGCAAAGCCTTAGAGGGCCCCTTGAGCGCCATGGAGCGGAGGGGGCGAAGCCCTGACATGAGTAAGGGGTAGGCGGACGTCGGCAAAGCCTTAGGGGGCCCCTTCGAGCGCCATGGAGCGGAGGGGGCGAAGCCCTGACAGGAGACATGAGACATGAGTAAAAGCCTTACAACGCCCCTTGAACGCCATGGATCGGAGGGGGCGCAGCACGAAGCCCTAACATGAATAAGGTGCAGACGGACGTTGGCAAAGCTTGAGAGAGCCCTAGTGAGCGCCATGGGGACGAAGCCCTAACAAGAGTATGGGGTATGGTATGGTGGTATGGTGGTATGGTGGTATGGTGGTATGGTGGTATGGTGTATGGTATGGGGTATGGTGGTATGGTGGTATGGTGGTATGGTGTATGGTGGTATGGTGTATGGTGTATGGTATAGGGTTATTGGGCATGGGGCATGGGCATGGGGCATGGGGCATGGGGCATGGAGTATGGGGTATGGGGTATGGGGTATGGGGTATGGGGTCTGGGGTCTCGGGGCATGGGGGTATGGGGTATGGGGTATGGGGTATGGGGCATGGGGCATGGGGCATGGGGGTATCGCGTATGGTGTATGGGCCAGGCGGACGTCGGCAAAGCTTTAGAGGGCCCCGGAGCGCCATAGAACAGGAAACCTTAGGGGACCCCGTGAGCACCAGAGAGCGGAGGGGGGACCTTAACATGAAGAGGGGGCTCCACCGATTGTCCCCTTAGCCCCATGAGCTTTGAGCGTCATGGAGCAGCGGAATGGGCGAAGCCCGAACATGAGTAAGGGGATTGAGCCCCAGAGAATCCCCCGGGAGCAGGAAAAGCAGGAGGGAGATGAGGAGGGCGAGGGGGAGGGAGGAGGAGGAGGAGGAGGAGGAGGAGGAGGAGGAGGAGGAGGAGGAGGAGGAGGAGGAGTGGGAGAGGGAAGAAAGAGTTAGCAGGAGGAAGGAGGAGGAGGAAGCGTGAGGAGGAGGAGGAGGGGCAAGGAGGAGGAGGAGGAGGAGGAGGAGGCCAGCATCTGCAGACTCTGCCCCAGCACAGCTGGGGAGTAACTCTAGTTGCACAGTGCACAGTACATCTATTTGTACTGCTGCAGCGGCCAGTCTCTCAGGCTCGGCTCTTAAACCACGGGAGCCGCCCAGGCCTGAGAGCGCTGGCACTTCCTCCCACTGCTGCGTGCTTGGTGTGCGATCCCCTAGTCGTCCTGCTCAATGTCCACGTCGGCGCACGCAGCCTGCTCTGCGTCGTCGCCTGCGTCCTCACCCTCGCCGGCGTCCTCGCCAGCAGACGACGCGAGCTTGTCGAGCTCCTTGCGGAGCCTGGCTGGGATGCTCGCCTTCGCCGACTTCATCTCTGCAAAGTAAGGCTTGACCAGTGTCCCGTCACCCTCAGCGATGATGCTCAAGCCGCTGCGAACTGCGATCATGGTGCGAGCGCTCTCGCGAAGCTGCAAGTCCTTCTGGACCTGCTCCTCGAGGTCGCGCAAGTCGATGAGGCCAGAAATTGTACTCGCCAAATGTTTCCACATTCCATGGTTCTGCGTCATTGCTTTGATGGCCGTGATGAGAGGCTGGCGCCCTTCCATCTGGATCACGGCTTTCACGCTGGCGTCGTCCATGTTCTTCAACGCAGGCTTGAAGTCGACGAGATTGTCTGGGATCGTCTGAGCGTGCTTGCGGAGCGTCTCTGAAATGCTTTGCATGTGCTTGAGCATCTGCGCCTTCGAGCAAGAGCGGTACTGGCCCAAGATCGTCACGAGGTGGTCAGCAGTAGTCTTCTGAACCGAGCCGTCACGATTGGCCTTCAGGAACTTTTCCAGGTCCTCCAATTCTGGTGCCACCTCGGCGAATTTCTTGAACACATTGATCATCGGGCCGTCGGTCTGCAGAAGGTATGAAGCAACGCGCAAGGCGTCTTCTTACCTCCAGCTCCTCGTCGTGCTCTTCTCACTGCCCCCTCCTCCTCCTCCTCCTCCTCCTCCTCCTCCTCCAACTCTTCCTCCTCCTCCTCCTCCTCCTCCTCCTCCTCCTCCTCCTCCCCTGTATCAGCCTTCGCCAGCTCGTCCAAGGTGAAGATGCCGCGAAGCGCCGGGATCAGCTTCAGCTTGAAGGGCACGTCGCTCTTCAGCAAGTCCAAGGTGGCGCCAGACACCGCTGGCATGTTGAGGTAGTTGCACATGGACTTGTATGCCTCCGCAAGCATTAGCTTACTGTCCAAGGTCTTCGCAACGCTCTGGAACTCGACCTGGATCACGCGCTGCTTTATGCCAGAGACGTCCACCAGATTTCCTGACATGCTCACCTGCAATTGTTGCAGCTCCTGATCTCCAATATCAATTGCCAGCGTCTCCTTTGTTTCGACGCTCCCCTCGCAGAGGACCTGCAAGCAATGGCACAGGGGCGCACCAACAATTGCGACCAAATCGTCCAAGCTAGCGAAGAACGTGCCGAAGAGGAAGTCGTCTGTGCCGAGCCCCTTCGCCTTGATCATGTCGACTAGGCGGTCAGTGTATTCCTTTCGCACCGTCGGGGTCTCACGTAATTTCACTATGCACTGGGACAGGTGGACGAGCTCGTGGGCCCCCTGCTTGCTGATGATGGACGAGATATTATCGATCGCCATGTTCTCCAGGGCTCCTTTGATATCGAAGTTGTTGGTGAGCGATAGTAGGGTGTCCATGTCGCTTACCACGCAGCCGAACTCATAACGATTCTCGACCTGGGTAGCTTTAGCAGTCTCTGTGTTGAAAACGGCAATGCACTTGCCCAAGATTTGTAAATCGCGTTGGACCAGCTCGAACATCACCTCGTACTCGGTCTTGTTGCCGTTCTCCTTGTCCCTAGTCGTGCGGGCCAGCACATCTGACGGTATTTTGAAGAGGATCGAAGCGACGGCCCTGTCTATGGCCAGTCCCAGGGCCTCGCGCAAGCCGTCGAAGCTCTGCTCAGACGCCTGAGTCCAATCGATACTCTTGCACTTGTTGGCGATAACCTTCAGCTTGGCCACCATTAGCTTGAGCTGCATCGGGTCCCCCGTCGGTTCTTGGATCTCCTTCAGGCTCTTGGTCAAATCAGTGACCGCCTGCTGCTTGACCTCCATCTCTTGCAGACCCCGGAGCTGATCAGAGAGACCTTTCGTGATGTCTGCGAAAACCTGGAGGTTCTTCTTCTTGATCATGGCGAGGTAGTGCGACTGGTCCTTCTTCTGGGTCACGCGAGCCACTGCTTGCTTGATAATAGCTGCGTCGACCTGGTTCTGCTGGAAGTGCACCTCGAGCGCCTTCATGTCATCTACGAGTTGCTTCGGCAGGTGCTGCTCGTGGTGGATAATGGTGTAGACCATTGTCCTGAAGCTGGTCTTCGCGTCCTCTGGCTCCTTCTGCAGCTTGACGTCCTTGTCGATGTAATTGCCGATCGTCTTCAGCAAGATGGTCTGGCATGTCGATGCCCTCTCTCCCTCTGGCAACTTGGCCAAGATGGAATCCTCACTGTCGGCATTCATCATCTCCAGTTGGCCATTGAAGTCGAGGTCCGCGGCTTGCTTGTTCAAGAGCGCCTTCAGGACGTAAGCAGGCACGTGCATGTCCAAGGTCTGGAGCTTGTCGCCGAGAGCCTTCACCGTCGTTGCAGCGGCGACGTTGTCCATCCCAGAGAACTTCGACCATGAGCGGTTGAAAGAGATCACGGTCATGGCAGCTTCGGTCACCTTCGGCAGGTTGGCAACCTTCTGGGGCAGCGCCAGCTTCCCCGCAGCCTTGAGGAACCGCCCGCATGCGTTGGTTGCCTCTTGGAATGTCTTGATCTGCGCGGACAAAGCGCGCGGTGCCAAGGGCGCCCACTTGGAATCCACAAAGGACTGGAGGTCGGCAAGCACGGGCTGCATCACCTTCTCGGCAGCCTTCGTTGAGTCGGCGTCCATCTCACTGACCTCCGCATCACGTTTGACTTTTGAACCGGACGATCCCTTTGAACCAGACTTACACGACGATGCCTTGCTGAAAACGCTTGATGGCCCTGTCTTCGCCTTCTTCACCTGTGGCGTCTCGTACTGATAACCCTGCTGTTTGCTCCTGAGCCGCTTCTTCTTGTCTTGGATGGCGGCCTCATCTTCGCTCGAGTCCGCGTCTAAGCCCGATTCTGAGAAAGACGCATCTTCTTCTTCGTCGTCGCTCTCGCCATCTTTTGCCGACTCGCCATCGCCGGAGTCCTCGTCCTCCAACGGCACGTGCTCAGTAGCCACAGCCTGTGCCTTTGCCTGGCGCTCCGCTGCCCTCACCCTTGCCAGACGAGCGGCCTCCTGCGTCTGTTCCGCCGTCATGGCCTGGACAGCGGTGTTGTTCGCATGCTCAGCCTGGGGGGTGGCTTCAAGCCTCCTCGTCCTCCTCATCTTCCCACCGCTCCCTTCATCGTCGTCCTCCACCTTGAATGAAGGATGAAGGGCAGGAATTCCAAATTCCCTCACCTCCTCGTCCTCCCTCCTCCTCCTCCTCCTCCTCCTCCTCCTCCTCCTCCTCCTCCTCCTCCTCTTCCTCTTGCATTTCGCAGCCACGTCGCCTGCGCAGCAGCGAAAGCATCCTCGCAGTGTTCGTCGTGCAAGGCCTCGCCCTCGCCCAGGATCGCGGTGTCCATCGCGATGCTCGACTCCGAGATCTGGTTGAGATCGAAGACGCCCTCGTCCCCCTCCCTGACCACGTAGCCCTCAATCTTCTGGCCGTTCTTGAGGTACCTGGTCTCCAACTTCGCCTTGTTCTCCTTCGGGCACCCGTACTTCTTCTTGTAGGCCTTTGGCAAGTAGAACTTCAGACCCGAGTCAACCAGCTGGTCGACGGACCTCTGCTGCTGGACGACTTTCTTCTTCTTGGCAGCGCTCCGGACGCGAACTGTTCCGCCGCATTTCAAAGCCATGTAGTTGGACCTCATCTTGTTCCATTTCTTCTTCCTCGCAGGAACCTTGACCACTGCCTCCTCCCAATCCTCGAGGTTCTTGAGCTCGCCCTTGAACTGCGTCCTCCAGAAGTTGTAGCAGTTCCGGCACCACGCCCCGGACGGGATCTTGACTCTCTTGATGACCTTGCCCTTCTTCCCCTTGATCGGCCTGGTCTTGTACCTGGCCCAGATGATCCTGGTCGTTGTGCCCTTGCTCTTGGCCACAGGGCACTCACTGGTGCTTGCCGCCTTGCACCCTAAGCAATGGCATGTCGGACCGTGCTCGCCATCAGACTTCTCAGCCTCGCTGTCGCAGCTATCGTCCGAGACTGGCTTCGCGGCCTCGACCTCATTCTCGCTGTCGCTGGCGGGCAGGCTGCCCAGATCCAAATGATCCATGCAGGTTGTCTGCAGATCGCTGGTACAACAGAAAATGTCGGCGTGCCTCTGCAACGCCTAAGAAACCTCAGCACAGCAGTGCTGCACCTCGAAGCCAGTATAATGGCTTTGGATAGAAAGGGAGGAGGATAACCACAAGACAGCTCGCCTCTTGGGCCCAATAGCCAGCCCAAAGGGCAAGTATAAATCGGGCGCAGCCACACCGCGAGCATAGGTTGCGCCATTGGCCATTGGCCGCCGAGAATGAAACGTCCTCCTGGCCTCCCATTGCATCCGCCATAGGTTGCGCCCTCGGCCGCCGAGAATTAAACAATGTCCAATGTCCTCCTGTTGGTTGCGCCATAGGTTCTGCCGTTCTGCCCTTGGCCGCCGAGATCGCCGAGAATCCTACGTCCTACGTCCTACGTCCTTCTATTGGCCTACTGGCGATTGGTTGCGCCATAGGTTGCGCATGGCCGCCTAGAATAAGACGCCATTCTGCCATTCTGCCCTTGGATTGGTTGCGCCATAGGTTGCGCCCTCGGCTGAAGAGAATACAGAATACAATGTCCTCTCGGTAGTTGCGTCATTTCGTTGCGCCCTCGGCCTTGCGCCCTCTTATATTGTTTGCGCCATGGGTTGCTTCCTCGGCCGCCGAAAATAAAACGTCCTTCTAATAGGTGCGATCAGTCAGTCAGTTCAGTCGTTTAGTCAGTTCAGTCAGTTCAGTTGAGGTAGCTTACCCTGCGAGAAACAAATTCGGGATACGCCCGAAATGAGAAAATCCTAAACCAGGAAGGGAGGGGGCCACGGTGGTGGAGGAGAGGGGATGAGATATAGAATATAGAATATAGAGGGAGGCAGCAGCAGCAGCAGCATTGGGCCAGAGTGGGTGGCAGCCGCAAGGAGGGAGCGCCAGTGCGCAGTACAGCAGTACAGTAGTACAGTTCATTCGGGCTGGGTTCTTACCTTTTCACTCCTCCCATCATGATCCCGCCATCCCGCCATCCCTTTCTTCTCCACCGCCCCTCCCTCTGTGTGTAGTTATTCTGTACCAGCATTCTAGCAGTATAGCAGTCTAGCATTCTGCATTCTGCATTATTCACACCTTTACACCTTTAACCCCCCGCCCGCGCGCTCATTTCTTGCACTACTGGGAGCCACGCTAATCAAGGAACCAAGGGAGGTCCAGATGCATCCCCAGCGCCTAATCGTTACAAAACCTTCAATGCCAGCGGCTCGTTCCCAGCAAGATGACGCTCCAGGCCAGACCAGCTTAAGCCAGGCCAGCGCGAAATCACGACACATACTGGCCGGGCCACTGGGCATATGTATACTCTCTACTTGCCGATCGCACAGACCAGTCGAGGTGCAGCATGCAGCATACAATCATCAGATCTACAATCTACATCACATACTTTCAGAAAGCTGAGCAAACAATAAACAATAAACACCTAAAGTAGAGGTACGAGGTACGAGGTCCTCCCCCTCAGGGCCCAGCGAGCTCCTCCTGTTTCCTCCTCCTGCTGTCACATCTTCTCGCTGTGTGAGGGGGTGATCTAAATCTGTCGCTGCTCATCGCCAGGAGGCTAGCACGCGCCACACAGCGCTTCAGCTCAGCGATAACTCACTCACCCGAGGGAGGATCGAAAGCTCGTGTAATCCTTAGGGCCCGACCGAGTCCCTAGAGGCACCTCAGAGATCACGGCAGCGAGCACAACACCAACACATGGGAGGCACATCATGTTACCTGTGAGGGTCCTGGCCTGCCAGTCCTTTATCGGGGAGATCTTCACCTCGTCAGCCTTCCACCCCTGGATCTGGAACATCTCGTGGGGGTACAAGAAGCGCTTGAGGCCCATGTGATAGAGCGTCATGCTGGTGGTCGGAGTAGGAGTAGACCCGATGTAGCTGAAGCACTTGCGCTCGAGAGCTTGGGAGAGATCGATCACTGTGTCCTCCTCCCACTGGCCGAAGTTCTTCTTCTGCATCAAGAACAGGATGTCAAGCATCTCGCACGACCTGGTGCCGAGGATCTCGCGCTGCGCAAAGTTCAGCATCATGGTGTATGGCTGCCCTCCCCTAGCACTCCTCGCCACGATGCCCTCCTGAATCCGCTTCCTGTCGAAAGCACGCTCGGCAGCTTTGCCCATGCCAGGGCACATCCTCTTGCTGATGTCGCGTATGGCGTCAATCTCTTGCATCATAGGCGAATTGGGCATTGGGTCCAATATGAAGTCTTTCACGTGCCCAGACCTCTGAATGCTCACGCGTTTCAAGGCCTCCTCGATGCTCTTCAGTTGCTCCACGCCGCCGATGTCGTTCCTCAGCCCGATGATGTAGATCCTCTTCCTGATGTGAGGGAGCTGCCAGTAGTCGGCCCGCTGCACGACGGGGAGCCAAGAATATCCTTCGATCGATTCGAGGCCGATGGGGACCTCAATCCCGTCCTTGACCACAACGCCCCGCATGAGAACGTCCAAGACAGATGCATACTTTGGGTAAGGCTTTTTTTTCTTTTGTTTCTTCTTTAGTGGCTCATCCTGCGCGTCAGACTGATTGCTGCCAGACTTCTCATGGGCGATGGAGTCGACGTTCTCCAGAATGATCGCCTTCACCCTCTTCCGACGGAAATACGCGACCAGGTCTATGAAGGGCGTTGCCTCCTCATCTTCGATCTGATCCTGTGGGATCCTCATGTAGTTCGCATGATTCTGCCTGCTGTATGGTCGGCAGGGGAAGCCATATACTCCAATGTCAACCTCTGGATCGCAGATCCCACAGTACTCGCCGACATGCACGGCACAAGTGTGGGCATCTGGACTCGTGAAGGCCGCCACGTCGCGGTAGAAGCACTTGGGAGTGAAATTATCCATGATGAAATTCTCGCACATCTCGTCGTTGTCAGCGCTCCTGAGATGAAAAACACCAGCCTCCCCGAGCAGCATGGTGAGGGCCTTTACAGGCGCATCCGTCCCAGAACACCCAGTCTCTATAACCAAGGGCTTCTTGTTGTAGTGAGTCGTTGCTTTGGGCCACCAAGAGACCTCGAATTCACCACGAATATACTGAGGCCACTCCCACCACTTACCGAAGTTCAAGCAGGGGCCGTCCAAATCCAACCTGCGATTCAGAAAACCTCCTTGCTCCTTCTCCTCCTCCTCCTCCTCCTCCTCCTCCTCCTCCTCCTCATTCTCTCCTCCACTTCCTCCGATCCCAGCTCCATCCAGTAGTAGCAGCAGCAGGGGGTGGCGGGTGCTTCGACGACGACGACATACATACACACATACACACATACCACATACACACATACACACATACACGATTATTGCACCACGCTGGGCCGCTATACAAGGAGAGGGGTCGCGATTGTCCGTCCTAAGTCCTGACCCCTCTCTTCAGCAGACCCCCCATGTGAAGGCCTTCGGCCAAACCGCCAGACCCCGTGATCTGCGCGAAGGGGCGCGCCAGAGCGGGCGGTCTCCCAGGGACTCCAGGGTCTCAGAAACTCTCAGGCTCCAAGGGGCTCTTGGCTCTCCAGGGTATCTTGGAAGCTCCAAGTGTATCCAGGCCCTCCAGGGTCTAAGAGCTAAGAGGCTCCAGGTTCTCAGAGGCTCTCAGGCTGCAAAGGGGCTCCAGGCTCTCCAGGGTCTCCCACAGGGGTTCCAGGGCTTCCAAGAAGCTCCAAGGGGCTCCAGGCTCTCCAGGGTCTCCAAAGGGGCTCCATGGCCTCCAAGGGGCTCCAGGGCATCAGGGTCTCTCAGGCTCAAAGGGGCTCCTGGCTTTCCAGGGTCTCGAAGAGAGGCTCTCAGGCTCGAGGGGCTCCAGGGTCTCAGAAGCCCTCAGACTCCAAGGGAGCTCCATGCTCCAGGAACGTTGCGGTCCGGAGAGTCCCGGGGAGCTAGTTGACCTTTTCGGGAAAGGGCTCACGAGGCGCTCACCAAGGGATCCGAATAGTCTTCCAAATGCCTCATGAAGTCCCTCTAAAAAGCATCGCGTTGAACACTAAAGGGGGCTTTAGTGTCCAACGCGATGCTGTTCAGAAGCATTTTCCCCGACGGTGGACCTTACAGGGTCCTCGTAGCAGTGGCTGGTGGAATCGTCCGAGATGTAGGACTCGTCGCCTGACAAGTCGTCCGGAGGCGGCGTGCCTGGCGGGACGGCGGGCCGGCGGCGCCCCCCAGGCAGGAGGAGGAGGGAGGAGGCAGGAGGGAGGGCAGTAGTGCAGGAGGAGGGAGAAGCCATGAGGCAGGAGGCAGGAGGGAAGAGGGAGGAGGGAGGAGGAAGGAGGGCGAAGGAGGAAGGAGGGAGGGGGCAAGGGGAAGAGGGAGGGAGGGGGGAGAAAGGAGGAGGGAGGAAGGATGGGTATGTGGTATGTGGTATGTAAGCAGAAAAGGGCGGGGGAGTGGGGTTTGAGGGAGGGCGGGGGGTTGGGAGAATAGAGGATGGGAGGATGGGCCTCGCCTCCGCCTCCGCCTCCGCCTCCGGGTCCACAGCCGCGTACGACTCCCGGGCCTTCACGACGGACGCGGGTGCCTCCTAAGGATCAAGTAGAAGGCGATGAGGGGGAGGAGGGGGAGGGAGGGGGGAGAGGGACCGACACCATCGACACAGCCCAAACCAGAGGAACACACCACCTCACAAACACAAACACGTTATGACAGGGAGCATAAACGAGCCGAATCCGAGCAAAACGCCGGCGACGGGAGAGGAGTCACAGTGATCACCCCTTTTAGCACAGCCCGAGCTCCACGGCATGTTGAAAAAGTCGTACATGAAGTACAAGGCTGACAGGTCCACGACAGGTCGACCAAGCTCGTATCCATGCTTTGCACTCACCAGAGACTCTGGGCCCTTTAAGCCGAATTCACACGCCATGCTCTGGGCCCTTTAAGCCAATTCTGCGGCCCTTTAAGCCGAATTCTCATGCATGTCTCTGTGGCGCTTGGAGGCTTACTGGGGCCCCCCCGCCGGGGGGGCGCCAGCGGCGACCGCCGGGGCGGCCGCCGCCGGGGCGGCGGCACCTCCGTCCGCGGGGCCGGCGGCAGGAGCGGCAGCCGGCGGCAC